TGATCATCTTTTCAAGAGCTCTGATGGTGTAGTCTGCAGGATGGAGTGCTGTTAACCAAAAAATAAGGTCGACCTGGTGGTCTAGTGGGTAAGGAGTTGCACTGTCAACACAAACACAGGTGGTTCAAATCCACCACCTGCTCCATGGGAGAAAAATGGACAATCTCTTCCTGTGTAATCCGCTGCCTCTGCAAACCCTGTGGAGGGTCAGCTCTGAGTCAGTTCTGACTCAACTGCCTCTAACAACCACCACGGTAATATGGTAATATTTTGTATATATGGAATTAAATAAAATTTATCACTAAAAGGAGTTCAACACTGTTGGACAGAGGGTTGCTATGAGTCGAAAGCGACTCAATGGCACTTAGCAATAACAACAACATCATCAAAAGTAATTTTACTTGTTTCCGTGACTTTTAATATTGCTATGAGGAAATGTGAGAGTCCCTCTAGGAGCCCTGTTCTATTTCTGTAGGCTAGCAGAGCTCTAGAGGGAGTTCCAAGCTCTCACCAGGCCAGATGTGCCTGCAGCATGCCTAGAAACCCAGGCAAGAAAATCAGTAAATCCAACCTTAGTTCTAGGAACTGTTCCTTTTTATAAAAAATTTCTTTTTGGTGACAATAAGTATGTTGTTAAGTGCCATCGAGCCATAGATGACTCATGGCGACCCAATGAATGAAAGACCTGAACACTTGTACAATTTTCATCGTTTCTCCAAGTTCATAGAGTTTCCAGAGGCAAGTTATTTCGGAAGTGGTTGCCACTCCTACTTCCAAGCTTGTTTTAATCAGCGAGCTCCACCAAACACTGTCCACCACGAGTGACCATTATCACAATTCACACAGCAATATCACAGTGTTTAGCCTCACAGCAACCACGAGTTACCTCTATACAACAAATAGACAGACCAGTGCTATACCTCTTAGAAGAATGTTTGACCAAAAACAATTCAAACCAGACCTGAGGGCCACAAACTAAAATCACCCACCTTTGGCTTGGTAGTGTCACTTTCTGTCCACTAGGCCAACAGAGCTCTCTCTATGTTGTTGTTAGTGTTGTTGTTAGTGCCATTGAGTCATAGACAATAAGTATACGAAGCCCTTTATCACTCACAGCTTCTAGACATGGTGATCAATGATACTAGCTAAATTCTTCACATTGTGTCAAATTCTTATTTCTGTCCCAGCTATTTCCCTTTCAATTAGCCAATCTGCCTATTCCCCAAGCCTGTTCCTTGGAAAGGGATGTCATGCTTGGAAAGAGGGAGGGACAGCGAAGGAGAGAAAGAGCCTCAATCAAGTGGATTGATGTAGTTACAGCAGCAGTGGACTTGAGTGTGTCTGAGATTGTGAGGATGGCACAGGATAGGACAGTGTTCACACGTGTTGTCCATAGGGTCACTATGAGTTGTACTTGACAGTACACAACAACAACAACCACCCTAACATTAACATCTAAGTTTTAAAATAGCTGTTGAACCTTTGGTCTTATAGATTTTTTTTTTTTTAATTTCCTTCTTAAAATAATACAGGAGGGAGCTCTGATGGCCTAGTGGCAAGAAGCTGCACTGCAATCCCAAAGGTATGTGGTTTGAATCCACCAGAAGCTCTGCTGGAGAAGGAGAGGCATTCTTCTCCTGTACTTGTCAGATCCAATTTGAC